ATTTGAAGATAACTTGCATCTTACATTGATTTTGAGAGTCCAGAAAAGCTTACATCAGCTCTAGGGAGAAAACAAAAAAGAAGTACCTTCTACAGCAGGAAGATCATCAACGGTCAGTTTCAAACTCTTGCCTCTTCTGAACACACGCACAGTGTGCCACTCATTATCGTTCAGATTCTGACCAGCAAAAATAGTCTCAGGACCTTTGCCTGCAGGACAGTCCAAACAGAGATTAACAGACATGCCAACACACACACACACAGGACAGAGAGGTTGAAAAATAGTGGACATAAGCAGAATTATAGATAGAGGAGAAAGAAAGGAAGACTGAGTGAATGAATGAGATAGCTCAACAGAGGCAAGAGATATTAAGGTAGACACAGTTAATGGCCCCTAAAAACACACGCTCTGACTTGCATTTGCGGCCTCATTAAACAGGGCACCACGTTTCTGAATTCTCACTCGAAATCGTTTTTCTTCAAGAAGGAGGAGGGAGGCAGTGACCAGGAGGGTTTTTTCTATTCACAATATGTGGATTTTTTAAATTTGTTTCTCACCCATGTGAAAGTTTCCTATGCTCTTGTGAAAACAGAAAAACATTATTCCTCAGAGGTTATTTTATCTTCAAATAATGCTGCCACTTGGTGGCAGCAAATAACTATGGTATGTCTGAGTAAAACTTGGCAATAAATTTAAGCTCATGAACGGAAACAATGATTCAGAAAGATATGCTTGTGTAATAAAATGAGCATAAACAATGGGGAAAAGATGGGTAACAGAAAAAAAAAACACATAGCCACCTTAAAGAAAAAAAGAATAAAGTAATAAAGAAATACAGAATGTGATTTTTATCTACACTGTTTATGGAAAAGACAACCACAATACCAAATCAACTTTAAAGTTGACTAACGTTCAATCAATAACAATAGAATATTATTAGCATCCCGTCAATGGATCCAAAAAACAATATAGTCATATTGCATTAAGTTTGTATAAACAACAGGGACAGTCACTTCACAGCAAGAAGGTCACAGTTCGAATCCCATCTGGGGCCTAGCTGCGAGGAGTTTCCCCTTCTACCATCCAAATACATGCATGTTAGGTTAACAGGTGACTCTACATTAACCCTTGGAAAGAGTGTCAGCATGGCTGTCATTTGTCTCTGTAAACTCCTGTCAAGGGAACCTGTTCAGGGTCTGGCCAATGGCTTCTGGGATAAGCTCCAGGAATACCAACCCTGAGTTGGATTCAGAGGGGATAGATGGATGGGATTAGAAAATACATAGATGTCACTGCTAGCAGGCAGTGGTGGAAGTGTCACAGAGTTTCTATGCCAAACACCTCAAGGAGAGATTTAAAATCACATAAAAATGAGGAATTACTGTGTCAAATCTCTGCTACTCTGTTAGCAAAGAGAACAAAAAATCTCTCCTTGATTTCTCCATTATTGGTCCAACTGGGGCAACACATTATTTTTTCATGCAGCCTCCATTCTAGGGCATCTTTGAATTGCTGTAAAGCATTGATGTTCTCCTGCTGGACACACATAACAAAACAGGCCAAGGAGGACATGCCACTGTGAAAGTATTAAAAACCCCAGACTGTGGGTACCTTGGCCACAGTGGGGAGAATCCCAGATGGGTGCCAGGTTCATTTGCCTGAACCCATCCACGGCTGTTTATTTCTTGCTTTTCTGCAATCTTCAAAGCCACAGTGCAATGTGTATGCAAATCTGTTGGTGCCCAAGCACTGGGACACACGCAGTCTCAGAGGCACATTTCTGCTTTGTTAGCATTAAACACAGGGCAGGATTGAAACCAGACAACTGGCAAGGGATTGGGTAGGAGAGATATGAAATAATGGGATGGAGTTGGACTTGAAAGCATGGTTGATCGATGCCTTCCATCATTCTGTCCTTGCTGCTCTCCAAAGAGGAAAAACGGGAGGGGAAATGAGGGCAATTGTATCAAAACACACATTCCTGCACAACATTCACTGGGACAGGGGCTGGTTTGATGTCTAATCTGAGGACCATTGTAACAGATGCTGAACAGACATTAGGGATCTATAGTCCACTGCCGTTAATGTCCAATTATCTGTAGCGGCATCGCAGATGGGATCTGCCTATGGAGATGTTTCAAGAGTTATCCCTATCTGCCTCCCTGACCTAAAGTCCACGTGAGCAGCATTACAAGATGTGTTTATCCTCTCATTCGGCTCAGGCAGGCTTGACGCCAGCTCAGATACTGGTGTTACCTTCCTCAATCCTCTGACTCATACAGGTGGAAGGACAAGAACATATCTGACTAAGCAGCAGACCTTTGACACACATACCAAACCTGCAGCAGTACGGGGAAAGAAGCTTTGACAGGCCTCCATGCAAGACAAACTATTCATCCAACCAGTTCTATGGAGTTTTTTTAAAACAATGCAGCAATCATACAGCTTTTTCCAACTATTTGTATTCATATTTCTTTGCAATATAATTAAAACTCAAAAAACGACAATGTTGCAAATTATTTTAGATACTTCATGATCAACTTAGAATCTGCTGGCCTTCCATGAAATTCACTTTGTATGCTGGGGCTTTGTATACTTAGAATACATGTGAGCCGCTCTAATAAACTAGTACTGCAGTCATGAAAATGAGGAAAAAAAGAAAAATAATTTGAATAAATAAATTAAAATCATTACTGTGCCTTTGTTAGAAGCATGGTAACAGTTTCTTTCTCTGGGCAGTGGGAATGGACTCTTGCTCTTTTTTAACTTCACGTCTTATTGCAGAATCCCATTTTTATGATTTTTTTTTATATAAAAAACAGTACATCATAAAAAACTGTAATTTCAGATTCTAGCCAATCCACACAATAAAAAAGAACACAGAGAAATGAACTCAGCATGTAGTATAAACTCAAGACAGTATAACTGAGTTTGTGTTATGCACGACTAGAAAGCTTTACACAAACAGAGACAATTTACATTGAGATCCAGCTTATCTCCTGAGTTGTACAAAATTCTAGTGCTCTTTTACTGGGGAAAATAAACTGAAGTCTATTGAATGTCAAAGCCTTGTGCACTATATCCATGAACATCCCTGCATTAAACCTATCTCTAAACTATCAGTTCTGACATTAACACATGAAACATAAACACGCAAAATAACTCACTGGACGTCTTTGATGACAGATAAGCCAAAAACAAAAATAGCAATGCGCGAACAAGATAAATCCCTACAGAAAGAAACACCTTTAGAAACTGTGCAAGATGGAGAGAATAATCACAGAATACTGCCCTCATCTCTGTATACATTTTTGTTAATAAATATGACTTGGCCAATAGGAGATCAAAAATAGCAAATCTGTCCAACGATATTTTCATTTTGCGTTTTTAGTTTGATGTCACTCAGTGCCTGTTAACGGTGTTCAAGTTGAAGTGGCAGTGTTTTCTTCAGACAGCTCTGGGCAGCCCCGGGGAACCTAGGTCCCTAATTGACAGTGATGTGTTCTTTGAGTCTGTGCTGAAATTCCTCATAAATCGAGCTGACCGGTGCTGCAGCGCCTGACAAGACACATTAATTAACGTTGAAAAAAAGAGGACAAAAATAACAACTTGGGATAAAATGAACAGGACGCTAATTCTTCATGAGTGGAAATACATTGGCTTAACATAGTTCTTTCCAAGAACTTAAATTAAACATTTTCCAAAGACAGAATTAGATATGAAGCTATCAAAGAGGGACCTGCTTTGTCTGTGTTCTCAGAATGACTTAAATTCGAGGTTTATCTTGAATGGGCATTGCTAGATGACAAACTCTAAAAATCTAAAAATATGTGTAAAAGAACCTGCACAGATTTTACAAATCATCTTTTATGTCCACATATATGGTCTATCAATAATAAACTTTTTAAAAGAGAACAAAAAATAAACAAAAATCTAATTTTACTTTTTTTACTGAGAAAAAAAATATTTTTCTAACGATTTAAACAAATAATTGTTCACTGCTTAATTTTCATAAAAAGAGAACCTACTCTTTTATTAGTCTTAATATTTTACTTATTCCACTTCACAAGCTATTGACAACCATACAGATTTAGTGAACATTTGAAAAATGAATCATTAAAGAAATGGATGTATGATAAATATTTAAAAAACAACCAGTGAAGTCTGAATACACATGAAGCACATTATGCTTCCCTTCTTCTGGTAAACTATGACCTTTTAAAGCTGTTGATAGGGGGAAATTGGGGCAAGGTATACAATTCCAGATGCATGAACAATGCTATTTAGCATTTAGAAAGGTGTTCAAAATGGCTGGCTCATTGAAGCAAATCATTTCATGGGATATTTTTGAGTAGATGTTATGATGTGTAAGACTCCCCTTTTCATTAAGCTTTGACCTTCAACTACACTGATGCCCATCCAAAAATATTACTAACACCGCTGTTTTCATACAATACATACATAGATCTATACATAGGTATAAAATATGACACAGGCAAGTTCAACAAACTGTTTTGTTTTCTGTCTAATTCCTGTTGGTATTTACTGATACTGATACGAAAAGTCTACTCGTTCCTGTATAATGACTCTGAAGAAGTCATTATTAATTCATCAGTGTTCCTGAATAATAAATGCCAGGGATATTTACCACCCAAAATATTGCAATGTAACTCCTTTGTTCAACCCCCCACTCCACACACACACACACAGACACACACATACCTCTGCAGGATCTATTCTTTCCTGTTCCATACTCATCCCTTTCTTTCTGCTCCGTGAGGCAGGTTAATGACAATAATAAAATCACACTCTGTATTTCATCTGTGCTTTGAATGGCCTCATCAATTTAAAACCAGAAAGAAATATTGAGGAAGAAAAGGAAAGAAAAACAAAGAGAGACAAGGAATTCTTGCGAGTCTAAAATACCTGCATTTCTATAGCATGCATTTTTCTCTATTCCGGCTGAATTAAAGAGTGAAAAGGTTAATTAATTAGAAACAGATCAGTGTACACAGCTGACTGCCATATTCAGGTCTGTCATCAATTCAAGCCTCCCTCCATTCCCTCTCCCCTACTCATTATTGTATAGTAATAGACACAGGAATTTCCTAAGTTTCTATAATTATTAGAACTTAGTGTAATGATATGGAATATGAATGCCAATGCTAGGGTCAAGTCACATTTATGTACATTGTCTCAATTCCTATGGTGACATCTTTGTGACGATTAAATCTTAGGGCCATGAATCATTACAATAAAGAAAAAGGCAAATATGATGATGTAACAACATTTCTACGGAGCATAATAAAATAGAGAGTTAGAGAAAGCCAAGAAAAGAAGAAAGGTGAACAGTAACTTACTGGATGTACAGTTAATCCTGACACAATCTAGATGGGGAAGAATAGATGAGAGATAAATTCATCTTTCAACGTTACAGCTGCAGACATCATTAAAGCATTCAGTCCACCCTCTGGGGACACACACATGGACACTGTCCATCCTCTGATGCTCTTGCCCATGGCTTCCAGCTGCAGTTAGCTGCTAAAAGCACTACAGTGTTGAGATTAAGAATTTGTTGGAACACATGTTACGGATTGTAAAATAGAAAAAGAGTAGGACAAAGGTTTACTTACGTATATTGATTTTTTTTTAATGCATTTAATGCATTTCTTTTTCTTTCTTTTTTTAAATGTCATTTTGAGAGCACCAGATTTTGTTCAGGGTCATACAGGGCCAACTGGAAGGTATTCCAACTATTTCCCCATTATTTAAGCCTGTGAAGTTAACCATCTGCTAATTTAGCAGACACAATACATACACAAGTTCAGGGTGATATGAAGGAAAGCATGATTGGGTTCTCAGAGGGCTACAGTGCTATGACAAGAAAAAGATTGACAAAGAACCAACACATTAGAAAATGTGCCTTTAGTTGTCTTTGATTTTGGTTTCTGAGGGTGGAGATCTCTTAGTTTAAAAGCTTTGAATCTAAAAAATCAAACCAGTTTGGTTTTTGTAATCTGAAATGAGTTGGAGCTTTGACAGTCCGGTCAGTAGCAACTATAACTGTCTTTTTTTCCATGCAATTCAGTGATCCTGTGCACAATGTAAACTTGAATTGAAGTTACACCTTTCATGCTACATCAGCCTAAACTATTTAATGTCAAAATCAACTGTTTTAATGATGAATCAACAATCAATTCTGAGTGTTCCACATGTCCATTTTTATGTATATAAGATTGATCTAAATATTAATTATTTAAAATTTATCACTGAGCTGAGGGTCCCATGTCTCATGAAACAGATGCAGTAATACTTACTGAAATTGGAAAAAAATTGATTCAATTCTAAACCAAATCTATATGTTACTTTATTAGCTAACTCCACCACCAGCCTCCCACCCCTCCATCCCATTTGGCCCTGCATGTCATGTGTTGTCAACCACAGCAGAAAAGTGGTTGCAAACAGCCAGAGACCAACACCAGCCTACCCTGACAGGGAATACTCTGCTTTTCAAGAGGGAAGAGGGAGAGAAGTTATAGGGCTCCTTACCATCGAGGAAAATGAAAAAGTCTTAAATGTGTCAAAAAGAATTGTGAAGCCTGTTCCGACAAAAGAACAGATTTTGTGGTTGTAGTGACGTAACTAGTCAGCCATTTTAGGGTGTGGTGCTGTTGTCTAGGGGAGGGAGACACATTTTTGTAGTTGACAGCAGATACAGACTTTTCTACTTTACATGCATGACTAAATATCTCTACTTAGAAAGCCCATTTCTGTTCAGCCAAAGGAAAGAAGAAATAGATGTCTATACTTGTTCCGCACTGTAATGTTTCTGACATATCAAAGTCTCTAAAGGCATCACATTATTCTCTCTATTGTAAAAAGACATACATGCACACTAGTTCAAGAAGGTCTGTCTTTCACAGTAATTTATTTTCTATTGTTTGTAGACAGAGAGTCGGGACTTTTTTGTTGTGCTGATTTGTTGCAGCTTTACAAGTAGACATTCATTCCCTCTGCAATGGTTAAAGAGCAAAGGTGGATTAAACTATTTTCAATCAAATTAAGCAATCAAGATGACCACTGAGGGAAGTTGCATTAGCATACGTATCCACTTCAGAGGAACGAACAGCTTTCAACTGTTAATGATATGAATTTATTTCAGGCACGATCGGCTACCTCATCTACTTATTGTACATAAGACGTCCCAAAAGAAATAGATAAGTCAGTTTAATCAGAATAGTTATTCCGATGTCATAGAAAGGAATACCTCAGTTTGTGTGGAGGAGGATAATTGGAGTCAAAACAGTCCACATGTTTGGCTGGTGATCAATGTTATCGCACAGAGGGGGTAGCGAGCATTCCCTGCTGGGCAATGGCGGCTGTGAGCTCAACTGGCAGTGAGCCTTGAGCTGCAGACTTTAGACCTTGAAAGTATTTACAACCTCCCTTCTATACCAACTATGCAAAGTAAAGATAAATAAGGGATAAATCTGTATGTGTGTGTGTGTGTGTGTGTGTGTGTGTGATATTACATGTATATATGTATTTGGGTTTGCTTCTTCACTGTGTAAATCCAAAGGGTTACCTAGATTGACCATCAGTCGTACTCGGCCACTTTCCAACTCTAGACGTAAGGTGTCAGCAGATTCCCGAGATGTGGTGGCTATCAGGATCCCATAGGCTCGCTGGGAGCGGAATCTAAGAGACACATCCTCAGCCTCTGTGTGCATCACCACCGGAAGCTGGACCTTCATAAACTTACTGCCATCATAGCTGAGGATAGTGGCCTCTGCAGAGAGTACAAGAGAGAAAGCAAGGTGGCTGGTGAAACTTCACAGTTTTAAGGTAATCAGTGAGCACAGCTCCGCTCACAATTTCCCATGTCAATTCAGGTGAACTGTGAATCCACGAAAAAAGAACTCTATACTGGTATCTTCTTAAAAGTGTGTTGGCATATTTATTTACTTTTCATCAACAGGATAACAATGAATCTCTACCACTTACCAATACCAAAATAGTAAATATAGACGTTATTCGTGAAGGTCGGTGGTTAGTCTGATATGTGTAATAGCTTGTGACTTTGATTGACTGGGACACTCTTACAAAATGGAATGAGCCAGCTTCTGGCCAATTAACTTATGTGACACACTAGCATATTGGCCCCAGGCAATTGAGCAAATGCTAATGTTAAACCATGACTCAACTTAGTCAAATAAAAGAATACCACTAAAATGGTGTGGGTCATTTTAAAACAAACTGGATGAGTAACTGTGTAATGGCATCTTCCCAGATTTGTCAGCAAAAAGCTGACATATTTGGCAAGATACAATTTCTGGCATCATATCCGGGAAAACCTATTCGCATATCACTGTCACTTGAGCCTTAAACACATGTCTCTGTGCCACTTTAAATTGTGGACTATGAAAATGCATCAGAAAATTGATAACGACCAAGACGTGCACGACTTGAAATATATTTCTGTTAAATAAATTAAGATAAATCAATGTAAATGAAAAAACTAGACAAATTTTAAAGCATGGTCCTAACATGATATGATGGAAAGCTCTAAGCATAGGGACAATTTTGTTTTAATTGTTGTAAAAAATAAATAAACAAATGGTGACAGAAGTTTAATGTCCTTTCATTTTGAGCACACACTCAGGTTAACTACATTCACTTGAAGCATTAACCACCAGTCTAGAGAATTGCTTGAAAGAGTGTTTAATGCTGACAGGTGTGTGTAACAACATTTCTACTAGTATTACTAAACCATAACCCAATAACAAAGCTATTACTGTTGCTGAATTGCTGAGATGGATGGAAGGCAAGTTAGAGGGATAGGAAATGGAGAATAGAGGGGTGATGGGGTACCGATGTACTCTCACCACCTCATCACCACTTCCCTCTCACACAGAGCCAATGTCACATTCATCCCTTGGGATGACTCCGTTGCATTCCTCACACAAATCCAATTTCTCCACACCCTCCTGGGGTATGCTGCTGATGACGGGGCGTGTGACAAACGAGTTCTCTCTTCTGAACTGTCTGCTTTCTGCCAGGCAGCCAAAGCAAAGAGCTGCATTTGGAAACTGTTACAAGATGCAAGGAAAACGGAGCAGCTGAGCAAGCACCTAATACTTCACAGCAATATTACTCAGAACAAAATCCTGATGAGAGCAGACACTGGTTTAAGAAGCTACATTGGAGATACAATAAAAAAAAAATCAATGTAATTTTCTGTTATTGAACTTGATCCGTTTAATGGTGTGTTTGTCTGGGAAACATGGTGAATGGTTCACACCAATGTGATCTTTTGACCTTAGTTTTTCAAGCCGTTTTAATTTAACCATTTACACAATAAGTAGTATAGCTTATTTTATTGTCTTATAGCTTATTGGAATATCTCCTACAAATACATACTGAGTTGCAGATGGGGATAATAATATAATACACAATATATTCAATAAATGTTGAATAGATAAACAAAGGGCTACATTTAATAGCAACTGAATTTCAGCCGTTACTTCTTGTGGGATTCATATAAGAGAGTGTATGAAATAATTGAAAGGCTCCAGAATCACTTAAAAAATATATAGAAAATGACTTCTATGAGAGAATAATTACCCTGATTCACAGTGAATACCCGTCAAAATTGTAATTGTGAGAGCCCAGTCATTTTAATGCCATTTCTATGGTCAATATCAAAATAAATTGAGAGGACTAAAGATGTGTCTTCTGTTTGTGTCAGCCTAACAGGAGGCAGTCACGGGGGAAATGGAGCACACCAAACTAAACCAAGCATTTGTTTTCATCCTTGTAAAGCACAGTGTTACATTATTCCAGATTTTCTGAAAAAAGAGAAATTACAGGGAGTATTAGGGGTTACTTCTCTTTAAAAGTCTTTATAAGTTACTTTTCTTTTTGAGAGAAGTAACTAATAAAATTTGCCACTAACAAAGTATAACGTGGTGAAAACCATTTTCATCTTCCATTTTAGAGCAAACTCTACAGGACGGGAGAATTGTGCCCTGCTTTTAATGGAAATGTGACGCCCCACAGTATCCTGGTACCAGTTTCAATCTGATCCAAAATTTGCAGGACAACAACTGCCAAAGGCCTTTGAAAAATATATGTTTGACAGCCATAATAAACAGGAGGAAATGGCCTCAAGATAGCATTCATAATTCAAGACAGTTCATGTCTTCTTCACTATTGCCTTCTTTGAAAACCAGAGCATTCACAGTCAAACAAATAGATTCACTAGCTATTAAAATTGTTTAAACACCCAGCAAGCTAAGTGGATGGACAGGGAACCTATTTTCTCACTCCACAGAAAGAGGTAGCAACATCATGGCCCACTTCACATCTGCTGCTCAGTGACCGTACAGCAAATTCATTAGAGCTAGGAAATGAGAGCAAAATAGAAAATGGCTCAGTTCAAAATCAAATGGTTGCCGTTTAATGCCCATACATTAACTTCATACAATGGCAAATGAAAATGCTTAAGAACAATTCTCCCTTTTTTACAAATGATTAACATATG